CTCCTTTCTGTCCTGGCCCATCTACTCCTTACCCTTTTATCAAATTCCTACCCTATCACAATTTCTCACTTGTTTAAATTCCACTCGTCAAAATGTGTGCCTTTTTGTGGCAAATCTAGTGTGGCCTCATCACACTTTCTATTCACCCTGACCCCCTTTCCTTTGATCGGCTTATCCGACTCGGGCCTCCTATCCAGATCTTCCTCATGGTCCCGTAGATTCACTTCTTATATTTTCGGTTGACCGATTTCACTCGGTTCCTGTCCCAGTGTGTGTTTTACTCAAGGCCTGCCGAATTTCTCTGACAGTTGTGCTTATCCGTCCGCCTAGTCCTCTGACTGCCAGGCCCCCAAACAGACATCTCTCACTAATAACGTTTTCGCTTGATTTCTGAAATTTCTCCCCTCCCGTTTTTTTTCATCGCGATCCCTTTTTCTCCGGTTTACAATAAATCCTTGTTCCAGGCGTCTCATTTTTGGTTGTTTTGCTATATTCTTGATTTCCCCGAGTTTGCTTAAGAGGTAGACAAAGTTATCGCTTACTCTTCCTTCTTCCAATCACCTGTTCATTAGCTTTTTTCCCCAAGGTTGTTAATGGCCTTCTTATTCTTCCCTTTCTTCGTGCTTTCACCGTATGCGACCCTTCTTTCAGTTGTCTTCCAGTTGATCTTGTGTGATCTTTTAGTATCCATTTTCCTGCAAGCCTTTGATGTTCCTTCATTCGTATGCTAATTTTTATAATAGTTTTGCCAATATATTTCTGTTCGCAGGCGCCGCATGATATACAGTAAACTCCTGAACAATCCAATTTGTCTACCCTTTTATTTTTCATCGGTAGACTTGTGAAAAGTGTCGATTTTCCTTTCATGACCAGTCGAATATTCTATCTCCTTAATTTTGGCTATAGTTTTTTAATTAATTTGCTGGAAGTTAGGCATATCCACTTTTGTGAATCGTCCGTCCTTACTGTTCTTTCGTAGTCCCCATCTTGCCATCGGCTTTTCACGGCCCGTATTTTTGTATTACTTCGCTTGGTTAGTCTTTGCCGAGGAATATCCGAGTCAATTTGTCCAATTCTCCATCCCAGAATTCCACATCTGTTAGGCGTAGGCTTCTTATGATCATGCTACTCATTATTCCTATCTGTAATTGTGATGGGATATGAAATCGAGTATTATCCCGGCATAAGACTTCTTTCTGAACAATTTCTTCTTGAGCGTCTCATTAGAGGAAATAACTTCAACATCTAGGAACAATAACCGCTCACCTTCCTCTATTTCCATCGTGAATTTGATTTGTTCATCAATCTGGTTTATAAACTTAAGAAAATCTTCTAGTTTTTCTCTTCAATGTTCATGTATACGTTTGCTTAACGAGGTCAGAGTGGCAATCTCATGGGAAGTCTAAATATTTGTTCACAGATCGTCCTGTTGAATACAAACTAGGTTGTGCTTATTGTCAAATTGATTATTCATGCTAACGAACCTTTCTTATTCCAGGATATCCTCCTCTCGGTCCTGGATTTCGGGCAGAGCCGTTAGCGCCTATTCATTTATGATAAAAGTAATGTCGTCGATTGCTTTAGCAAATATAGGTTTGCTTCATCGACAATCCCAGCACAAAATGTGATATGGAAGATGTCTGACATTTGTTGAATTTCATATCTGCCCTGTGATCCAAGGGCACTCGTGGCAATGTGGTGTAGTGGTGTAGTGGTTAACGTGGTGAGCTTACTCGCTGCACTATCATGGATCGACTCCCGCTTGGAGTGTTGATAAGTCCTATGCGAGGTCGAAACTGAAGTCCACTCTGGATGAGAACACATTTTGGTAAAGCGAAGCTATGTGAAGTTCAATGAAAACATCAGCCTTACTCATAATAGGACACAACTCATAGATCTCATGGGAACTCCAAATATTTGTCCATAGATGGTCCCGTTCAATGTGTACTAGGTTGTCCTTGTTTGCAGTCTTTCAAAAAAGATAGGCGAATTAGTAAAAAAGTGGGGAATAAAAGCAGTGTTTAAACAAGTCCTCACACTTTCTTCTGTTATGCCATATTTTAGATAGAAATATGACTCATTATAGAGATCTGGCTGCTATAATATTGTTTGCTCTCGTGGTCGATCTTATGTAGGTGAGACATGCCGACCTATTCGACAAAGATCAGAGGAACACAAAATGCTTGTAAGGGAAGCTGGGTGCAACGGCCAGAAATGTCCAAACACATGGCAGAAACTGGACATGAGATTGCATGGTCTCAAATTAGTAGGTTTGCAGATTATCGTAGATCTGCCTTTAAGAAAAGGTAAGAGGCTATTGAAATTAATATATTAGGGAATACGTTGAAGATGAGGAACGGTGGTAGAAAGTTGAGTAGGAACTACTTTTGCTTGAGTGATAGTTTGAAGGAGAGAGATGGTGTTGAACCGCCATTCAAAAGAAAGCGATTCAACTCGTCTGCTCAGTGATAGTTCTAACTTCACTCGCATTCGTTCAAAATGGCAGATTAAGCTCATCAACCAAACCAGAAGTTCCAGATTACGCAGCCCCGGTCATTCCTTCCGTTGGGGGGTTAAGCGTTAATGACCCCAGACGTAGAGGTTAGGACAAGTGGTTTCGTAACTTGACTTACATGTTTAAAAGCTTACATCTCAACCATACTTGCTTATGAACTTACGCATTCTCGGTCAGGGCTTTCTCTTGGGTCATTAAGCCTTGATGACCAGAGCCTTGCATTAATCTTTTGAACACTGATTTAGGACCGGTATTGCGTATTCACGTCAAGACACATACACGCACACAGAGACACTCGAACAAAAGTAGCAGGCCAATATGAAAGATAGCTAGCCAAACCATACTATATCTATCTAGTTTTTTATTTATTTTCTTTTGCCAAATTGAGTCCATATACGAGGTAAGATAGAGCCTGATAGTCTTCTTGCCTTTTTATTAACTTGAGACTTTTACAAGAATGAGTTCCGGCTCTGATGATATACATCATAGGATGGACGAAGGAGGAGGTCTCGTTGACTGCGTCAACCTGTACGTCGTATCAAAGCCAAACAATGGGATTCAGCCATTCTCTTTTGGTGAGCTCGACCCACGAATCTCTTCTTCATGCACTTTCGTGTGAAATGAAAATCCCTCCCCTATAATATCTGAAAGTATGGGAATCTGAGCCTAGACGCTCTGCTCGGTGAGGCGGCAGTGTACGTGCTTCTAAGGCCTTGAGAAATAGCGCCTGGAATAAAACACACACTGGGACTGGAACCGAGTTAAATCAGTCAACCGGAAGATGAGAAACAATTCTACTGGACCATGATGGAGATTGGGATAGGAGGTCCGAGTCGGGTCAGCAAATTGGAAGAGACGAGGCCAAGGTGGATATCAGGTGTGATGAGCTAACACTAAATTCGCCAAAAAAGGGCACACATTTTAACGAGTGGAATGTAAACAAGTCAGGAGTTGTGTTAGGCGATAAGTCTGAATAGATGGGCCAAGACAGAAAGATGATTGATAGTGTAACCGTTTCGATACAACGTTGGTCGAGGGATTGACTTTACTCGTCTGACGAGTTTGTAGTTTGGTGCGGAGAATAGCAAGGCTCACTGATGATGCCGGCGAAACGCCTAAGTATGTACCAAGTCCACGCTCTGATGCTTAGAAATATGATAACTACTATGGTCGAGGACTTCGGACAATGTGCGTTCTACTAAGTCTCCATGACAACAAGACCAAGTTGCGATAAAGAATTCAGCCTACTTTTATAAATAGAAATGAGACTGCGACCATCCCAAGGGCCAAACCATTTTGGTCTTCATATCTTTGAAGGCAGAGCAGAGTAATGACAGTTGTAAGTCCAGGTTTTAGGGGGTAGTTATCAGACTAGTAGAGTATGCAGACCAAGCTACTGGAAAGATATTCAAGACTCATTTATCTGACCTTTATAACTGAAGATGACTCGTATGTTCGACGTCTGTAGGTAACTAGAAGCAGGATATAGTGGTGTCTTCGTTCTCAAATTCTGCAAGACGGATATATTCTATGTGAGGCCTGTAAAAGTAATTTATAAAAGCTGTAGGAAGTAATTGAAAGGGTATATTAGTGCCAGCCGCTAATCGGCAATAATTTTACTATAAGTGGCACTTAATTACTTTGATAGTTGAATTTGAGCGATATTGCCAAGCTTACCCGATTGTCCTGATGTTCACTAGACTGAGCAGGGGGTAAGGCTAGAATTGAAAAATCAGGCTTTTATACCTCAAGTTTCACTTTATAAGAAGCCAGTAATTCATGCTACAACTGCTTATAGTCTATTAGTAAAGCTCGTTTGTCTTTTTTTATAACCACAAAATTGTACTCAAATATACTATCCTAAATATATTGTCATCATCTTTTTCATTCTGTCTTCGTCTTGAGATTCTGTGATTTAAGTGTGTTTAATTTGGTGGGGTGTAGAATGTAGTGTATAGTTGATTTCATATGCTTTTCTTTTACTCACAAATCCTTGTTCCTCTACTGGAAAAATCAGTTTCTACAACCTTTCCGATACTTCCGCGTTAAGTGTGAGCAGCTACTTGTCCGGCGTTGTACAATCCACGGTCTCCAGCCTACTGGATGCCAGCTGCATTGAACTGGACCCAAGCGACCTTAACTCCTTGCTGCCCACGCCGATGGGCCGTTTGGCTGCCCATTATTATTTAAGTCATCTTACTATGCATCTATTTGTCCAGAAGCTTACTCCTGCGGCCGATTTAGAGCTCATCTTGAATATTTTAGCAGTAAGGCTACGATATGTTCGCCCAATTCTTCTCTTTATCTTTCCCACGCCTTTTCCCATTTTCCATACAACTTTTTATTTTCAGCATGCTCATGAATTCGCCGAACTTCCTGTTCGTCATAATGAAGACAACGCAAATGAGCAACTTTCCCGCGAGCTACCCTTGGAAGCTGTGGGCTCTTGGGACTCGGCGCACACCAAGGCTCACCTTTTGTTGCAAGTCCACTTCACCCGACTCACACATATTCTTCCTGTCTGCGACTATGTTACCGATACGAAACTGGTACTCGACCAGGCGCCCCGTATTGTCCAGGTAATTATATCTTCCGTTTTTAACGACCATTTCGCTTTTTCGCTTTAACTCTCCCATCTTGTATTGTAGAGTACTCGGTTGGTAGCTTTTTTAGTCATTAAGCATACTCGTTGTTAAATTTTGATTATTTTATCTGTACATTAGCGTAAAAAACGTGAGATTATATTATAGTATTACTGTTTTCCTTCTAAAAAAATTAATTATCTTGCTCA